TTGGAAATGGATGTCCACCGATGTTAATGGATCTTGATGTTAAGTTAAAACGCGAAGATGTTGGCTTCAATCTATCGATTGTTGTTTTTTATATAGCAAAATGCTTTGGTACCAAAATGATATTTGATATTTGGTACCAAAATGGTATTATAAAATAGTATAAAACATAGAACAATTTTCAAAACGAATCTTGTTTAAATATGACAGTTCAATGAAAGACGGAGTGTTTTTTTTAAATATCAGTCTCAAAAGCCACTCCAACAGACGTATTCAGGCACACCTACGCACAAAATATAACACTACAAAGATAAGCTATGGCACTGTAGTACAGCGATGTACAGTTAGAAACAAACGGACATTATCAGCTAATCCCGACATCGATATCCTCACTAGTGAAGGTATAGAAAATGTGCACTCACTTTTAAAAGTGAAGATTTCTGACGACTCTTTCTAACTACAGGAAAAGTGGCAGACGTAAACGAGGGCTGTCTCACATGACATTGACTTCTGTTATGTTGACGCAGAAGATAAAATTCGACTTTCAACAGAACTTACCCACAACCACACTCACACATACGGCATGTTCTACCAACGACAATTGTGAACATACAACTTCAGCATACACGACTGCTCTACATAACAGGGTTATACGAACATGTGGAATGACACCGTAGCCAAACATGGTGCGTTCGAGGTCGCATCATCTCTCAAACATTATGTTGAGAACAACAACAGGTAAAGTAATCGCTACCTTTATATAGAGATTGCAATAAAGCTTTCGCCTTTATAGCTTTATAGATGAGAATGAAAAGGATTTTCGAAAGCTTTTTTTAAAATCTTAAATATTTGATTAACACTGAAGGATTTCAACTATTTCAGTTTGAAAGGGGGTTCGATAGAAGCACAAAGGCAAATATACTTGGACAGATTTTGATATAAATAATATAATAATATAAAATAAATTGCAAGAATGTATAGATTGAGTAGCTATCTATATATTAAAAATGTTAATTATGATAATTATCAAACTGATAACTATGATAGTTATGATTTTGATATATATATATTAAATCCTCCCCCCCCCCGGTTTTAGATGAAGGCTTCGCCTTGTTCCTTGGCGGATTTTGAGCTGAATTTGTATAATATTTTCTTCTTTTACAAAAACGATCGGCCATGAAATAAGTCAAGGAAATGCTGTAAGAGTAACAGCCAGAGTGCGAAACGTGATTCAAAGGGCAGACAATCTTCTTATCGCTTTTGGGAAAATTCTACACCACAGATTCGGAATGCCATGAAACGTGAACACAAAGAACAATGTGAGCGAAACGAGGCCACAGTTGCTGAAAAAATTACTCGTTTAAGTGAAACGGAATCGGATTTGATGGGAAGACTTAGCAAGGAAGAAATGTCTACAATACAGAATAAAAAGGAAGTAATATGTAAAATTAAGATTTGTGGCTACTTAGCTTCCTTTTTTATTATTTTTTATTCTGCTGATTTTGAAGCTTAATACTAGCTTGTACATTGCTTWAAAAAAATATGTTTTCGACATTAATAAGATTTCGTAAGCTTAAGCTTACATTTCTTTTGTACATTAAGCTTCTTAAAGCTAAGCTTAGAGTATTATGAAAGCTTAATGTGATAATTTTATTTACAATATTTCTGYACTGAAATTGACCAATCGCAGTGCTTGTGTAGTTAGTGATTTCATAATGTGACAAAAACCATAGCTTAATGTACACATATAGTTATAATTTCATTTTCTTTTTATTTCTCAGGGAATGCTTCTGGCTTGGGTCTAAAGATATCGAAAAACGTGGTACAGCTATAAAGGAGCTTACCAAAATCTCTTAAAAATTAGAGCTGTTCTGGAAATGGAGATTCCACATCAGCAACCACGCTGGTACAAAGGAGCAATGCTGCTTATGTATACCTATACCCTAGTAAGTAGTTTTGAAACTACATATTAACACACTTTGTCACACTCCTGTATTCTTAGTGTCTATCCTGACTATTACACTCTAATTTAGTATACTTTGTTTAATGGGTTATGGAAAGCCAATCTAATGTATGGTTTAATTGTCTGATATAAAAACGAGTGGAAAAAGTTACCTATTTTGCTTCATTTTTAGTTCCATTCTTCAGCTGAGGCTAGAGCCGATATAAGGGAAGCTTTGAAAAGACTTGGAAAGTCATATCTACCTATGAAAAAGGTCCAGCATTTTTGGAGAGAGTAAAGCTTGCCATACGAAAAAAAAAATTGATCAACAAGATGTATGTATGCACAAATGTGTATTGTTTCTTCACTATTTAAGACACATGCATTAATTAATTAATTGAGAATGTTATTATATAATTCACGTATGTATGAACATAGCCTGGGTGATAAAAAAAAACACAACACAAAAAAAGGTTGGAGGGCGGTTCTCCGTTTACTCTTTCAACCTTAATATATGTGTATGTAAATGTGAGCTCTTAGTACATATGTTACTAATACTTTTTCGACAAAGGAATCCCCATTAGAGTTGCTAAACCCACTTGTCAACCTTAAGGTTGAGGATCAAAAGTCTAGAAATATCAACGACAGTGGTTGCGCTGCCTTCCGCCAGCATGTCCGCTGGTTTGTACCTAGTAGAGACTGCCCGATTAAGAAAGGAGGATGCAATAAGGATAGAAGGACATAAATGCGCTATTTTTATTTTTACACAGGTAATAGGACCACATGCTGCACAACTTGGAAATAATTGGATGAAAAAAATTCGAATCCACTTTGGCTGTCAGAGGAATTTTCTTTTTTTTTTTTGAATTGAAGTACTTCTAAATCGTACAAGCATGTAGTCCTATTGCCGTTTTTCGCATCACTTCATCAAAACATCAAAATCTAAACTATAAATCGTAAAGAGGCATTTCTCAAGTATGTTTAAGAAATTAGTGTTTTAAGCCACAAGAAAAAGTCATTTTGATGTTTGGTTACCGAGTTATGAAGGTTGAGTTTGTGTCACGCAATACCGTCACTTCTATCTAAAAAGCGATGAAAATATTCGAAAACACAAGGAAAACRGCCTAGGTGACGCCCAAACGAGGAGATCCAGCTCCACGTAAGAAATATGTGCCTCCTATAACCGTCACAAAGACTGATTTCTTATTGCAGATCCTAAGGAAAAGAACATATTTTCAATGATTGTACACAATTTTGGGGTGTAAAAAGAAAGAGTTTGCTCTTGTTTCATTTCTAGCAGTAATGCTATTGTGTAGTATCCCCCAGGAGATGTCCTTTGATAGATGGTTTGTTAATATGCGTGACTAGATGTTSGTAGATAGTTTGTTTATGCATCCGTACGTGCTCTTTAATAATGAAACCAAATGTAAAAGTAAGATATTGSAAAGCAAATTGTTTTTGTTGCCATTTACATCACCACAATCAGATGTTCTWCTCAATGAACTTGTACTTTGAAAAAAGAAGGATGATGACATTTCTTTTATCTGCAAGAAAGATGATATAWTTTTRATGTATGGAAGTTCTTTCATAGAAAATGCTGGTRAAAGAAAAGCMTTGATTRTATCATCAAAGATGAGGGAGTTAGCAAGACTGAGGAGGGTTATTAATGAAGAAGAGGAAGGAATGTTGAAGGAAGTTCTAGATCCAGCTAACTTTGACCTTGTTATCAGGTCACTCATAAAGTTGTGTGGGTTTCACAGGAGTCAAAATGAAACAAGAGCTGAAACGCCATTACTTGGCCTAAAACTTGGGTACAGCCTAAACAAATGTACCCAAATCTACAAAGGTGTAGGCCTATGAGAGATAGGTAGGTGAGTAGGTAAGTTAACGTAATTTAAACACGCTTGGCCAGTCAACTGAAGCTGATTTGCACAAGGGGCGACTGAATGAATATTACAATGAAATGCTAATACTATTTTATATTCTAATCAAAACAAAAAATAAACATAAATATAACTGTTAATTAAGCTGCAATAATACATAGAAAATTAAGTAATAAATCAATTTGTAGATACTAAGAAAAATAGATAGGGTGTGAGTGGCAATTTCAGACTTAAATATGGGCAGCAATGTACAATTTCTTACGTTTTCTGGTAGGGAGTTCCAGTTTTTTGCCCTATCATAAGAAAAGCTTCTTTTACCAAACTCTGAGGTGGGGGATTCTAATTTAACAAAAATTTCGTTGTGGAGGTTACCATGGGGATTGATTTTCCTCTCTAGTTAAAGAAATAGCTCCTCATTATAAATTTTTTGAGACCACGGACGTTTTTGGTCGGGCTGGGTAACCTGTGYGATACACAGTCTGAAGGCGGTGATACAGTTATTCCTGAGTTATGATGAGTCTGAACAAAACCCTCTAGTCATTCCTCCTGAAGCTTCTGGTAATATGAAAGTTATGAAAGAGAAGGAGAAAGAAGAAAATATTTTTTTGCAACTGAGTCCCCATTGTTCAGTTGAACAGTAGTTCAGAAATTCTTCATTGTTACTTGAAATATGTTGGGAAAATTTAAATGACAATGTGAAAGAAAATGATGTTTACGTTTCTCATCTAAAAGACATTTCACTGTTACAGTTTCAAATTGCGAGGAAGTTGTAATGTCATAGCATGCATGGCTGCTTGTTTTTAAAGGACAGATCGAATGGAACAGGATACATAAATTATCAGAGTTATTTCATACTATCACATTTTTTACGTGTTAATGAGGTTTGCTAATATTCCAGCCAGCTTTTGCAGTGGACCTAAGGAAATTCATTTCATGTTCCATTTATTATTTATATACCAGCCCTACGAGTTAAAAATATATGCTAACAAAGTGACTGTTTTGTAAGAATCCTGCAACCCTGCTTGATAAACACCTTTTTGTATTACTCATGTTTTAGGACTCATGGTATGCAAGTTTGAAAGAAAAATTTAGGAATGAGAGCAAGTCAATTGAGGATGTTGAGGATGACCCAGAAGTCAAGACAGAAGTCAAGTTCTAGCTACAGTGAACATTTAACGATGCCACATTGTATATCTGAAGCGCTATTCGACGAAATATTGTCAACGACGCTTGAAAAACGGTTTGAAAATATTGAAGCATTATCGGAAGAGCAAAAGACATCTSTTTTGGCTTTGATAAACAAGAAAGACGTGTTCGCAATATTGCCTACGGGCCACGGAAAATCCTCGATTTTTCAACTTCTGCCAGATCTTTGCAGAGAGTTGTTTCTACGAGGTTATTCATATGCAAAGAATGCAATCATGGTAGTAATTTGCCCACTACGATCCTTAGTCGACTTTCACATTCGTGAGCTCGAAGGATATGGTCTACGAGCGACATCCTTGAATGGAGATGAACTCGACGAAGACGCCATTCTGCGAGGAGAGTACTCGTTCGTGTTTGCCAGCCCCAAGTCCTTTCTCGAAAATGACAAATGGAGAAAAATGCTTATGAACGATGAGTACCAAAACAGATTGTTCTCTTTTGTAACAGATGAAGCGCACGTCGTTCCAAAATGATAAGAATTAGAGCTAAAGCAGCATATATGATAAAAACCCGCAGTTCATTAAAAATCCATAGTCCCCTCATCAATCAGCTGCCAATGAATTTTATTACAATATTGACTAAATAAATAAATTGTGAAGTTATTATTGACTCTTACAAAAATTAATTTCTAGGTTCTTATATACATGCAGGCTTTTGTCTGGTTTTAAACCTAAATTTTTAAGCACATACTGTAACCTTGGTTACAGCTTCAAACAGAAATTATATTGTGCATCTACTTTTATTACTTATAACCATTATAATACCCTATGCCATGAAAATTATGCTGAATCAAAGTACACAGGACATTATTTTTGAAAACTCTAAAAATTCTAAAGTATAAGATGTAAGTTGATATCTCCTGAAATATGAAAAAACAAACTGAATGTAAAACAAAATATATATATTTTTGAATATGGTCTTCTAGTGTGTATCTGTCTGTTGAGCAGTTAATGGGTTCATCCATTTTTATAAATATGTTTGAAAACTTCCTCCTAACCAGCATTTTCATTATTTACAGGGGTTTTGGTCATAAAATTGAAAAGGGACAAAAAGCTGCATTCAGGAAATGTTTCTCCAGAATTGGTGAGTTACGCTCTATTGGTGTTCAAGGTGCACCAATGCTTGCTCTAACTGCAACAGCCACACTAGAAACCCAGATTGCAGTAGTCAAAGCACTTTCATTGAAGGAAGACTTTCAGAACGTTTTCGTAAGTCCGTACAGAAAGAACATTTACCTTGCAAGATTGCAGGTAACAACCAACATATCAAAAACATTTTCATGGCTCACTAAAAAGTTGAAAAAAAGAGAAGAATACAATGGAAAGAACAATCGTATACTGTAAATCTATCAAGGACTGTGGACGACTATTTAAATTGTTTAAATCAGAGCTTGGAAGTGATAGTTATTTTCCTCAAGGGTGCCAAAAGGAATCCCAAAATATGCTCTTTGGCATGTTTCACCACAACACATTGGACAAACACAAGGACAGAATACTGAACTCCTTTCATAATGAAGATGGTGTCTGCAGACTTGTTTTTGTAACTAATGCATTGGGGATGGGAATCAATTTTCCAAATGTGAGAACTGTAATTAACTATGGGCCACCAAGAGAGGTTGAAGAGTTGGTTCAAGAGGTTGGTAGAGCTGGAAGAGATGGCCAACCAGCTCTTGCGGTCTTACTATACCATGGGCGGCATCTCCGAAAATGCGAAGACACCATCATTGAATACTGCAGTAACAGCGATGATTGTTTGCGTAAACATTTGGCATCACAATTTGAACAGATCCAAGAGCTGATATTTGAATGTGGAACCCATGACTGTTGTTTGAATTGTCACCAGAAGTGTTATTGTGAAGAGAAATGTCAAATACCAATTCCTTGCTTTGATGACATCACAAGTAATGTGGAGAAGAAAATGAGAATAAGGAAAGTGTCAAAGGAGGACAAGACACTTTTGAGAGAACTCCTTATGGAACACAAGGACAGTCAACAATCAGGGCTTGTTACCTACCTCCATCCTGAGTGTACAGCTGGTTTCAGCAATTCTCTAGTGAAAGCTGTTATAAAACAGTGCAACAAAATCTTCACACTTGAGGGCATTGTGTCAAATTTACCTGTATTTAAAAGGTCTCATGCAGTTGACCTTCTCAACATGTTGAATGATGTATTTGAAGACATTGATCTCAAACAACTGGAAATTGCAGTGGAAACTGCTCCTGAATGCCTTGAAAGGGACTATGATCTCACATACAATCAGTGTTACGAGTATGAATCAAGTAGTAACTCTTCAGAAGAAGAAGAAGAATGTTATGAATAATGTTTAACGTGGACAATAGAGAAGTGTTTGTGCTATGAATATATAAGACACTCAGGTATTTGAATCATAAACTTTAGCTTGGTGAATCAACCATTTTATAATTTTATTTGTAAGATTTCTTTTCAATAGCATAACTTTGCAGTAACACGTGTTGAGTGAGCTTAAAAGCTGTTGTCAATAATCTTGATTTTAAAGGGGGGGACGAAAATCTTCAGAAATCTAATTCCACTGAAACGTCAATGGAATAATCTTTAAGTATTTAATACTAACTGGTTAAAGTTTTTTCTTTGTATTCCAATGGGGAAGTATTATATTTTTACGAATTTTATACTTGTCTGTGATGTCATACACTCAACACTAAACATCACTGCCACAGGCACATAATGCAAAAGGTCTTCTTTACAGAGAACATTTTCCGTGACAGCCTACTGCCATTTATTAAAGAGCGATTTCCTGATGGTCATCGATTTCAACAGGATAATTATCCCAAACATAAAAGTAAGAAAATGTCGATTGTGGTATACACTGATCCTTAATCTCGGATTTTAATAATAAATTTATCTAATTGGGTTTCTCTAATTGTTTGATTTTAGGCAAATTAACGATAATTCATAGCGGATAACAATATAAATTACTGGTGCTCCTGCTGAAAGCTCTGACCTGAACCCAATAGAAATGCTATGGCCTAAGAACAAGGAAGAGATTCTGTCAGGCATCCAACAGTTTTGGAAGACAGTAATGCCAGAAAAATGCCAACAGTACACTGGTCACCTAAACAAAGTCATGCCAAAAGCTATCGAGCRGGAAGGCCAAACCCAATAGAAATGCTATGGCATGAAATAAAGCACTTTCTGCGGAAGAATTTCTAGTCTAAGAACAAGGAAGAGATTCTACCAGGCATCCAACCGTTTTGGAAGACAGTGATGCCAGAAAAATGCCAACGGTACATTGGTCACCTAAACAAAGTCATGCCAAAAGCTATCGAGCGACAAGGCTGAACCCAATAGAAATGCTATGGCATGAAATAAAGCACTTTCTGCGGAAGGATGTCAAGTCTAAGAACAAGGAAGAGATTCTGTCAGGCATCCAACAGTTTTGGAAGACAGTGATGCCAGAAAAATGCCAACTGTACATTGGTCTCCTAAACAAAGTTGTGCCAAAAGTTATCGAGTGGGAAGGCTGAGCATCAGGCTACTAAACTAGTGGCAAGAAAAAACACAACGGCTCTTTTAGGAGCCAACAACTAACTTAAAAGTCAGTGACATATTATGCTTGTGATACTTTTAAATAAACTTTAAAAGAAGAGTTTGACGGTTTTTGTAGATCTGATTTTACTTCCAAATATTTCCGACATTTCAATTTCGAAAATATTCGAAAGTTTCAAACTTCCATTATTAGTAGACTATCTGACTATATACGTACATTCGGTCGATGACTATGCTACGTTTTTCAGAAAATGCTGCTCATTTGATTAAGAAGTGATGTCTCGTTCTTGGGGCCCTTTTACTGTAAATGTAAATGTACTGTGTTCTGCCTGCCGTCCATCAAATATGAAAAAAGGTGGCTCTTGCAAAATCTTGTTTTGTAAATTCTGAAACCAAGCAAAATTGTCTTTCTTTTTGTCATATTCAAACGATTGAAACTTTAAAAGTTTTATTTGCCACCACGTCGTGCATGGCATATATCATATGTCACCAGCTTTATAGTACTCATGATATTAAGAGAAATCAGACTAGAATACAAGCCAAGTACCCAGTGGCAGTCAAGATACTTCAGATCATCACTAAACGTTTTGGTGACACAAGCTTAGAATTGGAGACACTGGATGAAGAACATTTTACATTACTTTACATTCAGAGACTTGGGTTTGTTTTGGCACGACAAAAAAGCCTTTGGCTGGATACGTAGTGGAATTTTTCGCACAGTCCATTGTCTTAACGAAGCCAATCACAGAGCAGAAAATAAAAGGAAAAACCTTAAAATTTCAACTCTGTTTTAGAAGCATTCTTCATGTATTGATCTCTTTATAACTGTCTCTAGGCCTTGTAAAATGGTTGTTAAAGTATGGAATTAACTCTCTGACTATAAATTACGTACATGCATTGGAAACCAAGGTAAGTTAAACAGCTGAATATTACTTTACTCAATTTATAAGTGAATCATGTTAGTAGCTGTGTTCTTACTATCGATGGCAAATTCTAAAAATCTAGTCGCCCCAGCTGTTTTCGAAGATCTCAAAGAAGCAGTTAAGGTCAGCAAGAATAAAAGAAGCAAGGATGCACAAACAGCAATCAAAGTTGGCATTTCAATGGTCTGTGGGGAAACGTTGGTGAAAAATGGTCTGCAAACACAACTGGGAGCACAGTTTGGAATAAACAGACACCGAATGGCATCATGTTTACAACATCGAAGAAACGTTTTAAGAGCACCTCAAACTGCTACACCATGGACCCTAATTGAAAGAAAACCAGAAACGATGCAACACTAGAAGAACACCGAAAGTTAGCGTATGCATTTTGGAAGACCAAGGAATATCTCGCCCAACAGGCAATAAAAGAGACGAGGCAAGAAAACTTGTGGATCCCAAAGATTACCTGGAGCATGAGAAACAAATCTTAGGAAAGACTCAAAAGTTCATCGTGATTTTAAAGAAGTTTATCCAGATTTAAAGATGGGCAAGATGTAATTTGAATCGTGTTAAAAAATTTTTGTTATATCTGCTAGAACCAAGGATAGAAACTCCTGCTGCTGTCGTTCTCATGTTGAGATCAATATGTTATACAAGCAATGTATGGACTATCAAAGAAAACATGATCCTGTCAACGCAGTGAAAGTTTACTCACACCTTTCAGATGTTACTTCTGATACTTTATGCCCTTTGGAGGATGACAAGCAACGGCACAAATGTRCGAACAGGAACTGTGACAATTGCAGCACTCATAAACTTACACTTCTCCCAAAGTGTCTATAAAATACAGTATATTGTATAAAATGCAATCGCTGTAATCTTTTGTATGTGGGTGAGACTGACCACCATCACAGTGATCACATTTGCAATCATCTTTATGATTTCCTCAATAACGATCTGACCAAACCTGTTTCCCGTCATTTTAATCGAGCTAACCATTCTCTTTCTGACATTCTCTCTCTGAATTGTTTTCATTCTTTCTTTAATCATTGACAACAATGACTGTCACAAGACCAAACAAATGCGGCTTATTCACATTTTAGGCACCCTTAGTCCCAATGGGATTAATGAACTTTTGCTTTTAATTAAGGCATGTTGTAAAACATTGACTGGACTGGACTGAAAAAAACATGGAAAATTATAAAATTAAATAATGAGGAATCAAGAGTTCCAGATTAATAAAATCTCTTTAAATTGAAAATACATTTATATATTTACTCTTATCCGTCATAACCAAAGCCGGCGATGTGTAGCCTGGCTCCCCTCCCAGACTATAAACACATTCATTTGAAAGGGGCCTTTGAACAACAATGGAATGCATATTCAATAGGTCCTCGTTACCACCTACGCCAAGGGTAAGGGACATCACTGCTCAGTGTCGGGAATACTGGGAARTTCACCTGGAGGCCAGCAAATTTTTTCTTTGGGGTAAGTTATTGTTTTATTCCCAACATGTGATAGATACACTGATTTTTGTCATGGTTTTAACAGTTTTTCGTCAACACTAAAAGATATTGCAATTAGTATAAACAATTTATGTTCATGTTATATTAATGACGTTCGCGGGCAAATGCAAAGTAAATGTCAATTTTCTGAAACTTCAGTGCCAGATGATAAAGTAGTATAAAACAAACAAAATGAGTACAAAAAAATAGGGGGTCCCTGTACAATCCTGTGAGTAAAAAAACCATCATGAGCTGCAAGACAAGGCATCAAGTCATGAAAAGAAAAACTGATTCCGCCAAAAATATTTCAAATTTTGAGGAAAGACGTTTCGTTTGTATCAGGAATTAAACCAAACACTTTTTTTTGAGGAAAAAACAAAGTAAATCTTGAAGAAAACTGTAGCTTTTTGTCGTCCTAGCRGGTTAAAATAAAGCAGAAATGTCCTGTTTCGGTGCAATAAATGTCATTTTTTCAAAAAAAAACTGTGCTGTACATCTTTAGCATATCTCTAAATATTCGAAATAAATTTTTTTTAATGGTTTATTATCAAAGAGCAAAACGATCAGGATTGCTTATGCTGTCTTTTCTGATGAGTCACTAGCGAATTTTAAAAACCAAAAAGTATAGAAATCAAGAGCTTTCGAYGAGTAAAATTACATTTTCCACACATCTTTAGGCCATGCTACTTTGCCTATCAATACAATGTTTTGACTCGTAGGAGTGGGGTGTGGCGAAAACTATACTGCAGCCGGTTACTAAAGATAACCTAAATGGGAATTCACATGTCGCRAGCGATAAGAAGTTTCCCTCTCTTTATGCTCTTTTGGTTTAAATGCATATTTATTTGTAAGGACAGTATCATTTAGAAGAGTATTTACGATAAATCGGCACGACTAGGACATTAATTTTATGATTACAATGGCTTCAAAAAGAGCTGAGGAAGACCTACCAGAATTTGATTCTTTTTGTCCTGATGACAGTCTTTTACAGGATGTATTACCTGAAGTGGCTGACATCACTTCTGACATCATTTTGGCTTCATCCTTTAGCACCATCCCTGATGTTGTTCTCTAAATACAAAGATGAAAATTTGGAGTGTTTTGAAACCAGTGACATCAGCCAGTTTCTTGGGTATAACAGCACTGTTAATGTCCTGGAATCAACCGAATATACCATCCAGAAGAACATAGAAAGATCAAGATGTGCCTCTTCATTCAATGTTGGTGACAAAGTGGTATACCAAGTACAAGATGTGGAAAAGCACTTTAAAAAGAAAAGATTCTTTCAAAATGTTAAATGAAATCGGTGTGGTGGAGGAGGTTCTACCTAGTGGAATGCATAAAGTATCTGGAGAGGAAAAGGATGCCTCAATGTTTGTAAAATGTGTATTAGGTGGTCAGATGCTAAAATTATCCCCGGAAGTAAGGGATAAAAGTCAGATAGATGTACCATCTTCAAATCTATCAAAATTGTCTTTATTGAGTCTGCATGATTTCAAAATTTGCTTCTACCATGAGAGGGGAAATGTACGATTGCAATTTAAGAAGAAGTCAAGACAAGATGTCCTCTCTAAACATTGACGATTTGTTCCAAAAATACAATCCTTTATTGGATTTTGGATTTCTAGCCATGCTTTCTTCAATCAAAAATAATACAGATAACACATCACATTTCCAAAACCTTTACACGAGTGGGATGAAGGAGCAGCAGAAGGCTTATTTTCTTTATGGAACAATCCATTGGGAACGCAAAAGAAAAAAGAAGCTTGGTGAGCAGATTACAGATCATTTGTCTACCATGAGCCATGCCTCTAGTTGTTTGAATTGCTAAGAAACTGACAAGAAGAAGCCTTGTAATCATTCCTGCTGTCAAGAAGCTGTTCTACAGCTTGCATTGAAATCTGGGTTGATAACTAAAGATGACAATGATGCATTTAAATTCTAGTGTATGAATGCAGTTGTGATTTAATATATGATTATTGTTATTGTTTATTAGCAGCAGCAGCATCTCCATCCAACACACAGAAAACCAACAAGAACCACTCACCATGTAAGTTTATTGCTGCAAAAAAAGAAACGCTTTTACAATAACTTACAAATTTATCATCAATAAGAGGACAGACAGATAAAAAAATGACACGTACACTCAAGCTCCTTGAAGAGGCTGAACTAGAAAAATGGACAAGCCAAATTTCAATTTCAACTTTTTTAACACACTAAATGCTTCTAACATTGATGCAAATACTGACTATTTCGATTTTGATGAAACATGGTGTTTTAGCATGTGCCAGTAGTTGATATCATTTTCAAGGAATGCCATGGCTAGTTTACTTTTGTGTTTCGGGTTGTTATTTGTATCTTGTTGGAATTGATGACCATCTGGGAATACATTTCGAAATCTATTCGAAACTTTGCCGTGCAGTGTTTAAGAATAATGTTCCATCCTACTGAGTTAGTTGGTAGAAACATTTTTGGGGTGGGCGGGAAAACGCAAGTAGATCCTGAACGAATCGCTCTTATTCAGCAATATGTTTTTAACAGCCAGTACTAACCACAGAAAGAAGAGACATATGGACTTTATGTAGGAAAGCATTAGACAAATATAGAAGGCATCCAGTTAAGCGTTCGTTTAACTTAGATTTGCTGGTTTAATACCTTTTTGCCATTATTCATATGTGATTATTATTAATTGAAGTATAAATGTAAGCAATTCATAAAATAATATGGCAATGATCTTAAATAAAATCAAAAATGTGAAAATATTAACAGAGTTTGAGCATAGAGGTATTTCGGATATGCTTGCAATGTCCTAATGAAAAAAAGAGATCTAAACTCCCCAGTATATTTTGGGTGTTTAAATATCTACAGTACAACATCGAGTTTTATGAAGAGTACTGCGCTGTGTGAAGGAGTCGTAATCGGGAAAATTGCAGACATACTTTTGCATAGGGTTAGATCCATAATCACAAAGGCAATTAAGAAGTTTTATGTACGATAATTCCTCAGAGCATACTTTCTGACAATGAGTATGATAACATTTTTCAAGAAAAGTTTCAAACAGACCTCTACGGAATTCAAGAGGATTTTCTAAGGTGGAGTAATCCATAGCGGTATGATCAAAATCTCTAATTCTCATGACTAGTGTTTCATAATAGGTGCATTCGTTAGAATTTTGAAAATGCAAAAACTCTAAGACACATTCAGGATGCACATAGCGGTTACGACAGTTTAGTAAACTACAGCGATAGAATCTGAATACCAAAGTTTCGTTTGTCGCAATAGTAACAAAGTTCAGATAAAGGTGGAGGTTCAGGTATTTTACTCACCAATAATGTTCAAGAACTGYGTCTTCTTAAGTACCAGAAGCAAAAAAAATTTGAGCAGTATGAGATAACGAGGTTTCACAGTCTTAATCATTTTATCCATTTACTGTGGCGTTTTTTAAAGATGCTGCTAACACACGATGCAAGGCAAGCATTGTTTGTCTTTGCGACATTTACCAGATATATTTGCTGGGATACCTGTGGTATACCAGCTATAAAATGACTTTAGCAACAAAATGGCAAAGTTGCACAATAGTTACCCAGGGGTCTTCAGGAACTTACCCAAGGGGCCTTTGCAGGTTTGACACATTATCTCCTATAGGGTTCCCATCTATAGTCCAATCAATTATTATATTCCAGATGTCAATCAATGTCACTATGCTGTCAAGTGATTAAGAGAGGGCAGAGCTAGCAGATCACGTGGTAAAGTTTATGTCTATGCATGCTCTATTTCGTTTACCGCCATAATTCAAGACAGCTGAACTGGAAATCAATTTCATAAACAAGGATTTTAAACCAAGAACATAGCCCATGATTTTGAAGCGATTATTTCTAAGAATTTTCATTGAACTTCATGGGCAAAGCTTGTTTTGGTTTATCTATTTGTGATTCATCTACTTGAACAGTATTTTGCATGAACAAGCAAAGATTTGATTAGGAGAACAGGGTTTCAAATGATATAAGTGATCGTAAATTCATTCATCATCACTCATTATTCACTTGAACTTAACAATATAGTCTTATAGCCTATATTTATGTATTTATATGAACTGTTTTGGCTTCCAAGTCTACTCACAAAGGAACATGAAGTACAAAGCATCATTTATTTTAAGATTCTATTTGATTTGAAAAGCAAAATAAATAATTTGCTACACACATTCCAGGGCTTGATCTTTGCAGTTTGAAGAAATAGCGATTCATTAAAAAATGTCTATAAATTATAAAATGTAAAGCAATTATGAGAGAAGTTTTGAGCAAATATTGGCCTGTATTTACGTTTTAAATGAAGCATTTTTATTTTAAAGCGAGCCGCGCATGCTTTTGAGACGAGTGAGATTTACGATTCATTCGAAAAAAATGCAAATGTATGATTTCTTCAATCGATCGGACAAATATGGCAGCCCAGATGATACRCTAATTGATGATAGTCGATAATATTATGTTCGTGTAACTATCGATTAACCATCTACTACCGATAACTAATCAATATTAATCAACTAATTTTAACGATTAATAGGAAAGTGAAACCAGCCAACCCTTATATGCACTTTAAAGTACAGGGTGTTTTCACTTATCAAATATGAAGTCTGTTGGCATCCAAATAAAATTGATGTATTTCATCAAACATATTTTTTACCTTCAAGGAAATTTTAAACTCATAGCAAATGAAGATAAATTAAATATAAGATCAAATTTAAGATTACAAGATTAGTAAGAGAAACATTGTGAATGAGTCAAAAGCTTTAGAAGTGAAGAAAACTGTTGTGTGACAACAAGATTCTTAAAAGTGTCCTCGAAACCATCTCCTCAATGAAACCAAAAATACCAGGATTTTGTAAAGATTCATTGCTTGCTTGCCTCAATCCTCAGCAAAAAAATGGGTTTTTATCTCCAAAAATGATTTATTTAACCCTTCACTCCCAAGACTCTGAAGGTAAAGCTGAAGAGTCATGTGCAGCAGTATGGCGTTCCATCCATGCCAAAATTCATAGTTGACATTCGATATTGTAGTTTAAGTATTCTTCTTGGTTTGTACGATTGGACATTCAAGGTTAGATATTTTTTACGGAGTTTTCACAATTCTACTTTGTAGTTAAGAGTATGTCGATATTGTAGCTGAAGTATTCTTGTTGGTTTGTACGATTGGACATTCAAGTTAAGAGTATTGAACATTCAACTTATGAATATCCAACCGCAATCCACTTTACATGCCGTCATCGCGGGCTCAAGGTACGAAGACTCCTCAAAATCATGGGGAGCTTAGCTTAGTTCAGTATGTTTTGTGGTTACTGGAGGTGTAGTACAAAGTACCGGCTTAGAACACTTTCCTTTTTTCCTCTGAAAATAATCAGTCATTGAAATTTGGCAGACCCTAGCTGTTGAAATTTTATCCTTAATTATTTACTCTTGATG